CAAAAAGAAAGATCAATAACAGATGGACAATGGTATTTTTTCAATTGAAAACTATTTTAGAGGCAATTTATTCATTAGAATCGACACGCCAGTATGAAGGGAAAAATAAGTTATTTTATGTTAGGAAACCTTGCACACTTTTAGGAACCATAAAAATAGGTGGTATTTTTTAATTGAAAATTAAAATTTGGAAAGACAGTTGAAAGTTGAAAAAATGAAATAAAAAACCTTTCACCTCGGATTCCCGGAATATGCTCATTATTTTTATTTCACAGTTCTGCTGCATAGTTTTAGGAGCCATGTTTAATAAACATCAATAAACATAAATAAAGATCGCAAAAAATGAAAGATTAGTAACCGAATTTGTTCAATAAAAGAAGCGTAATTTTTATCACTGCGAAATCATATGTTTCCTGCTTCCAATTTCACGATTCTGCTGCATACTTTTAGGAGTCAGGTCTATAAACAAGTAGGAAGGAAAATTGCTAACCTTTTCTTGAGTTTTTATTTTTAAAAGGGGAAAATACAAAAGAATTAAAAAATATACATATTTTCCATTTTTTTTTTTTGCAGATCCTCCAGCATACTTTTAGGGAAGTTCCGTTTCCTTCTATGAGTCATGTTATTTGAAAGATTTAAATAAGGTAAGTTACAGTTTTTTTAATATGTCAACCCTCTCTTTTATTTTGAAAAAAGCAATTTTTCCTATTTTTATTACAAGGGGTTACTGCATACTTTTAGGGGTTATCCTCAGTATTTTTTTTTAATATTGAAATATTCATATATTTTTCATTTCTTATATATATTTCGCAAATATATTTTTTACCCAAATTTAATAAGGAAGAAAGAAAATCTACCTTTCACTTGCCACCTTCTTGCCTGCTGATTTGTTACATTGAAAATCTCTTAATTTATGTCCTCTCAATTTGTGTCAACCTCAATTCGTTGAGCCGTTTGGGCCAGTTAACATGTGTTTTGCACACCTTGATGATGATTGCTCGGTGTGTCGGTTTAAATCCCAAAATTTATAAGCAATACAAATAATATGCAATGTCGTTATTGGCCATAGTTTGGCAACGTTCTCCCTCCGAGTGCATACAACTTCGACGACATATGCATGCAAGCTGTATTAATAATAAAATGAAATCTCCATATTGATTGTCAATTTTATTTATTATTAACGCTCATAATTGTCAAATTTGGCAAATTTATGGCACGCCAAGACTCAAGAGCCAAAAAAGAGCCCAAAACGAAAGAAAGAGACACGCAAATCATTTTAAGCAGAGAAAAAAAATACATATAAAGGGGCATTGGAAGAAGATGCAGAAGGACATATTGAGATGAACGGTTGGTTGGTTGGCTGGTTTGAATGGTTCCAATAATAAAATACCCAAGTATTTTTATCCACAAATTTACGAGACAAGACAATTTTTGTGAGATCAAGCAAGACGCAGGCCAAATAAGAAATTATGCAAATCTTTGGGGGCAGACAGACACGACATTCGAGTGACATTTCTTGTTTCATTGCACGCTGGCAGCCTAGGTTTCAAATAAACTTCGGCTTGTTATGGTCATTCTAAATAGCTATCTTGTGTGATAAGCTAGAAAGCTTGATTATTGCCTAAACACAAGACCTCAAATTGAGTCAAACATGGGCTTGATTAAAAATTCTTTGATTTGATATCTTTTCATTTAAGTTTGGAAACCTTTGGAAGTTTTTTCTTCGTTCTCTTGTTTTGCAATTTTGTTTTGGCATCATTTTATATGGCCGCCACATGATCGTACGTCAACTTTACACCACAGGAGGTTGAAGTTTATTTTGTATATTACATGATGTTCTTTTTTTGTTGTTGTTGTTGTCGTTTTTGTTATTTGGTTGTGGTCTTCTCTCCACCGCTCATTGTCGTTGTGTTGTCTTCTGACATTGTCGCCTCTTATTTTTAAGCCAGACTCGGAATAACCCAACCAACTTGAAATGACATTCATATTATGATCACACGCATGCAGGCAACCTCAAACCAACAACGACACGACAGACAATCGAACATAAAACATTTGGAATATTCATTGAACTCTTGCTGTTTTCTGGGATTCCTAACCATTCCGGCACTCACTCATTCAGTCACCCAGTCAGCATATACTTATGGCTTGAAGTTGGAAATGCTCTTTGTACGCGCCAATTTGAGTTCTTTATTAGGAGACAAGTTTACCACCATCATGCTAAGCTTGAAAAGGTTTTGGGAGAAGTGAGAGCTGGTGGATTGGGGAGCAAGGGGAGGTATATCTTCTAGTTGAAGCTGGTCGATTACAATATTCCTGGTCAATTGTTGGACCATCATGTGTTGTAAGGTGTTGCAACAAGGTATGTTGGAACTGGCTGAGGCAGCCACTCAGTTATGGCATATCATTGTCGGGCACATCATGTGTTGTAGCATAATGGGAAAGTTTATTTTTTTGTTGGGATGACGGTATACGAATTCTGAGACATATGGATGGGTTTCCTAAGAGTGTTTCAAACTCCATTTTGTTGTTCCATACAGCACAGTTGGTGGTTCAGGTTTTGGAATATCAAATTAAAACAAATCTCATGGTAGGGTTACAAGGTCCTACAAACCAAAAGGTATGCTGCTGTTTTTGTACAGAATTTGTTTCTTTTTTGTTGAAAAAATTCCAAACCGAAGTTCTTTTATAATTTTAATAGTCCTATTAGGGAAATTTTTTAAACAATTCGAAATAAATGAAGAGAGGCTAAATTATTATCAAACCTATTGATGAAGCCAATCGTAGATTTATTGCAAGGGCGTTGTATACCTTTAGGAGGAATAAAAATCTTAAATTTGGCAGTTTTTCGATCAGTTCAAAGAATGGTGCATACTTTTAGGAATCCTTAAACAACTGGGGAGAATTTAAGATTATTCAAAGAAAATCTGTATATAATTTGTAAAACATCAAATAAATGATGATGTTATATCAAAAGATGATGCATACTTTTAGGAACCAATAAATTAAAAAAATCTTGACTGAGAATACATTGTTTTTGACATTTACAAAGTAAGGGGAACTAATCCAATATTAACTACAGAGAATGTAGAAAGGAATGGGAAGAAATACGAATTTTTAATTTCAAATTTCGATGCATACTATTAGGGGTCTTAAATTGTTTATGGGATATTTCAGAATTCTAGGAAAATGGAAAAATGTACTGGGGATTTTTAATGGTTTAGAGTCATTTTGAACTGTTACAAAATACCTAAAGGTCATTAAACAGAAAATAGTATTTATTTTAATTTAAAATTTAGTGCATACTTTCAGGAGTATTAAATAGTTATGGCGATATTTTACAATATTGCTAACGGGGATGAATATAGTGGCCATTTTTAAGGTTTAAGAGTGATTTTGGACTACTACGAAAAACTTAAAAACCTTACTGGAAAGCCTGAGACATTTTTTTGAGAATTATTGACTTGTTTGATGGAATTATTAAAAATATGCACCGAATTTGAATTAATTTTTTTTATAAAAATAATATAAAAGAACATCGCAAAGGCCATCGTCCTTGGCAGGAGATTGAATACAAAATTTCTTTTAAATAATTTTAATGTTGTTCGGTATTTTTTTCCAATTTTATCTCCTACGGCTTATTGAAAATCCTCAAAAAACTCGAAGCAAAATCTACAGATTTCACAGGAAATCTCAAATACATTTTTTCTCTGCTGTTGCTGCTGTGATATTAAGATTTTGCCAAAGGTTTTATTTGTTTCGAGAAAGAAAGAACAAAAAAAAAACACAATATTGAGGCTATGTACAACAAAATAAAACTACAACCTCGGAGATTTGGAGAATGGAAACAAAAAACACCCGCAACCTTTTGCTCACATTATGGCCTGGGATGTGTTTCGTTTTTTTTTTTTGTGGATTTTTTATTTCGGTATTGGATTTAAAGATGGCATAACTTCATAACAAATCCTTCAACATACCATCGAAAAAAATGAATGTTTTTTTTTTTTTTGAAGCCTTTAGCCTCAAGAATATAAGCGTGTATGAGGAGATGGAGGTTTTTGTATTTTGGAAGGTAAGTTACTCAAAACAGCCAGCCAACCATCATTTGGCACAGCGGCAACAGCATCATTCGTTCGCGTCGTCGTCATCATCACACAACAACAGCAACAACAATCCAAAAAGAGACACCCAAGACCTTTACGCACCATCCTCTATAATAATGATAAGCGGGTTTTTAATCAGAAAATTTATATGTTTTTTTTTTTTTGGGCATTTGCCTGGGTTCTTCCACATCTCCACCTCTAAGCCTTTGGCTCAAAAGGGGTTCACAATAATCAGACATACCCAGGCTTAGTTACTTACAATCAGCAAGACGAGATATGTTTTTGAGCCTGATGGCTTAAAGCCTGATGGTTTCATATCTGTTTGGGTTATGAAGCCGATGATGATGATGGTGTTGTTGGTCAATATCTTCGTTTTTTTGCTGTTAAAGTTGACCATATTATTGGCCATAATTTTTTGTGGCCTCAGCCATACTACTTTTTTTGGTTAGTACAATTGTCTGTCCAGGCATATGGCTGGATTTGTTGTATCCCAAAGGTTTCTTTTTTATGCTTTTTTTGCTCAATGAAGCAGGAGAAGGAGATGATGATGATGATGGGTTATGGTTGATCATATAATTATACAGACTGTCAATGTAAGTTAAATGGAAACGCTAAATTTCAATGATTGGAGTTTTTCCTTTCTCCCCTTGGCTTGTAATAGGAACTATTGTCCGAAAACTATAATTAGGGGAATTGAGGAGCTATTTTTTGTAGTATCGATAAAGGTAATATGTATTGTGAGCCAATTCTAAACAAAATTCATTCAGCTGTTTGGCAAATAACCGGTGTAGATGCTAAGCAATTTTTTGTTGTTTTTTTTTTTTTTTTTTTTTTTTTGTTATAGAAAGAAAATTCATATGGGCATAGTAGAAAAATATAATTTATTGTTATGCTTACCGCTTGCACTTGTGCCATAATTGTCTGCAATGAAAAAGGTAGAACAAACAAGAAAAAAAATCAAAATTCAGTTTTTTTTTAATAGAGAAAAGAAATACATTTTTATAATTCCTAACAAATTAATTTCCTGTTAGCAGCAGCAGACAAAAAAACAGGTGTTTAATTCTTAAATTCACAATTTTTTATATTTATTTTTTTATTGTTTTTTACTGCCTTCTATGAGTGTGGGAACCCTGCCCCCAAAACCATTTATCATTTGAAGAAATTCCTTGCCTGTCTCTTGGTATTTCATAATTCACCACACGAACTATGTTGTTAAATGTTTTGATGTTGCATGCGTAAACTTTTTCAAATCTAAGCCATAATTTAAGCGATGATTAAAAAACCGACATTGTTTCTTCAAACTGCAAAATGAAATCTTTCAAAAACCCACAAAAAGGAAACATTTAAAACATTTAAGTTTTTGCTTTTTGTTTTTTTGGCCCAAAGCCATCAATCAAAATTTTTTAAAATGAAATATTTTCTCAGAGCAAAAAAGTAAAAAAATGGACAGCATTTAACAGCTTTTTTTAAAAAGAATTTAATATGAATCACAACCTTTGAATGAGGATTAAGGGAAAATTTTTACCACATTGTAAGCCAGAAAAATATTCAAAAATACAATTCATAAAACATAATTTTTTTTAAAAAATTCCCTATTCAAGCTCTGTCAATATTAAATTCATACATTCTACATTGAAAAATTAATTTTAAATAGGTTTAAAATACTTATTTTAAGTTATTATTTGTAAAACTAAACAAATATTGTATTTTTTCAATTTCCTATTTTTCCCCACAAAATCTTTAGTTTTTTGAAATGTCAAATATTTTATTTTAATTTTCATTTAAAATTGAAAGTCTCTGCTTTCAAATGATACTCATTTGAGGGCTGAATTCCCACGACAACTATTTCTAATTTAATTTTTAAAATAATACCCCTGTATTAAAAACAATCATACGCTCTATGGTACGAAAAAATAAATTATTTTATTTCTTAGACACGTAAAGCATTTTTAACAAAAATTTTGACATAATGTCCTTAAAATTCCCTATCTCAAATATAAAACCAACAAAATATAAAGATTTTGAAATTTGAAATATTTTTATTACGCTTTTTAAATTAAATCTTTGGATGAAAAAATATTACTCAATTCTTTTTTTTTTTCATTTTAACGAATTTCCTTAATTTCATTGTAAAAATCAAATTGATTTGAAATCTAAATCATTAGCTTCATATTGGTCATTTGAATTAGAAAATGTTCATATTTAGTGAATATTCCTGCTTTTTTTCAAAGTTAAGTATTTATTCTCAAAATTTGATAACTTCTTCATACAAATGACGAAAAGTTCTAAATCTAGAAATAATATTTATTTAAAATTTAAATCACTAGCCCTCAAGTGTGCCATTTCTATCAAAAAATTCTTACTTTCATTTATAGTAAAAAATATATTGTTTAATATAAAATATTAATTGAATTAATTTTTAATCGTTGAAAAAATAAGTTTTGATTGTTTGGACGTTTTTGTGCCGTACTCTTTTATTACTTTTATTTAAATAATTTTTTATTTCAAATATGATTTCTTAGCTTTCAAATGAGCCCTTAATGTCCGTAAAATTCCATTTGGAAGTATATTTAAAGCTATTTTCAAAATTTCACCTCTCTATTAATAACAATCATACGCCCCTGGGTACCAAAAACTATTTTCTCTAATTGCTATACTTCCAAATGCAATTTTGCCAACTTTTTTGTTAATTCCCTTAAAACTTGCACCCATTTTATAGTTTATTGACAATTTTGTAAAAAAAAATCTGGATTTTGAATTCATTTTTCCCTCAACATTTCTTGGAAACGACACCACCCAAATTCCAAGGCCGCGTCTTCACAAAGTGTTGTAAAATATGGCCATTACACTTTTCAGTTTGGCAAATTGTTAATGTCATTTGTCAACTCCGTTTAAGGGAAAACAAAAAATAAAACCATTAAATGTGACCTTCTACGTGTATGAGATACTAAGCCAGCAACAAAAAAAAATGTTAACTTAACAACTTTCTTGTTGTTTAAGCCCGGGATTTGTTTTTATTTTCGTTTTTATGATTTTTTTCGTTTTCTTCTTTGTCTGTCCTTAACAATTTTTGCATACATAAAAATAAACAAATGCCAAATAGGCGCGATGCATAATGCATTTTAAATTTTCTTCTTTTGCCACGGCTACTGGCAAAGATGACAATGCCACAATGATGATGATGATGACGACGATGATGATGGCGGTGGTGATGACAATGATGGGCTATGGCCATGGTGGTAAAATTGACTGGTTGCCTGGTTGAATTGGATTGGATTGGCGGCTTAAAAAAAACCAAAGCAAGTTGGTTTGAAATGCAACCAAAACCAAAGTGAATTAAGAAAACAATAAACGTAATGAATTTCGAAAACAACGAATAATGTTGATGGCAGGCAACAGACGACGACATAGCTCTGCAAAACAATTTCAGTCAGTTGTCAGTTGGGCCAGCAAAGACCCGACGTTGTTGCTTTTTGTTATTTTCGTGTGACAATCCATACACGTATTTCATTTAAAGCATCTTAGAATATTAAAATGGGATCAAAATGCTTTCTTAAGCACTTAAAGGAGACCAAACAAAAAAAGCAACAACAACGACGACAAACGTTTAAATCCAGCCAAAGACAAAACAATTTTAATATGCTAAAAATGTTCCTTTGCTGTTAAGCTGAGACAAAATGAAACGAAAAAAGAACTGCTGCCACATTCCTTTGATTGAAATCCATTTCGTTGTAAACGTTTTGTTAAACAACCCCAGCGATTTTTTGGGAAACTATTTAAAATGCTGCCAAGGATTGTTTTTCAAAAAAATGAAAATTACTTGAAAATATTCCAGGCTTAATCACAAGGCAAGAATTAAAGCTTAAGCTTAATCTGCAAAAGAAAATTAAAAAAACAAGATGAACTGCAAAATTGCAAACCCCCGAAAAAAATGAAGAGAAGACGAAAAAGAAGACTCAACTTGGAAATCTTTACATTTAAGACGATTATTTATGAACTGCAAGCCAAGTGTCATGTGATGCTTACTTAACGCAAGCTTGTTGCTTTTTATGGCCTGGCTTGAAAACCAGCAAAGCCCCCCATGACCTGCTTGTTTTGGGGCCAACACATTGCCATTGCCATAGATGTATTAACGATACCTTCTGCCTTCCAACATCCTCAGGCCTCCATCATCATCCTCGTCGTCGCCGTCATCATCGTCATCATCGGCTGGAGTTTCATTTATACGGGTATAAATGTTGTTTATATGTTAACAAACGTGTATCAATGCATGTTCAATAACTTTAAATGACAAAGAAATCAAAATGAATGAAAGTCTTAAAGTCTTCAGCCAAAATAAAAAAATAAAACGAAGACGAAGGAAAAGAGTGGCATACGCAACATCTCCAACTCCAAAACTTATGAAGTTTATTTTTAATTTTCTTTCATGAAAGACGAAACGTCCTCCAAACCATACCGAAAAAAAACAAAAATCCCGCAAGACTTAGCTCTTTCTACGCTTGCGACTGCAAGTGATATCCCCAAGTGATTTTAAGGTGTGTTTCAGGAATTTTTTACCCAACATTTTCTGCTTCTTTTTTTTCTACGCTTGAACACATTATTCCGCCAAGAGGCTACAGCTCATCAGTTCTACATTGGAGCAGTGTTAATTCCAATCCATAGTCGCCGTTTTCAACTACTGGCAATCTTAAAGACTTAATGTATTTGGAGAAAAAAAAACGTATTGAAAAGAAAAATCCAGCAAAAATCTTAAGTTGAAGTGAAACTTATGGACTTCATCATCTTCGAATGATGATGATGAGGATGATTGCTAAACCAGCAAACATGTTCAAAAAGGTGCGTGGCTGATTTGACCAAACCTAAGCCGGCACAAAAAAAAATATATCTCTCTAGCATCAGTGAACGAAAAAAAAATCGAAAATACCAAACACCACAGCCACAACATTCAACAATTCATGTTGATCATCTTTAAACATCATCAGCAAATCCAAAAACGTATCGCATTTCATTGAAGCGCGAAATTATCATGGCTAGCTATGGATTTTGTTTCATTGCAAATCCCAAAAATTCACAAAAAAAAAAAAACTCAAGGATGTTATTAAAAAAAAACTAAAAAATACAATTATCAAAAAAGAGAGAAAAAAACACAATTTTCTAATATTTCCTTATTTTTCAACTATTTCTTCAAAGGAAAGTTATCTCCCAAACATTTTTATAATAAAATTCGAAATGTTCTCTTAACAATTTGCCAATAAAATCCTAAAAATTATTTTTCCAAATATTTTTAAATAATTTTTAAAAAAAATTACCTCTGTATTAAAAACACTCATACGCACCCTGGGACCAAAAATAAAAATCCAATATTTCTTTTCCTGCACAAGCTAACAATTTTATTTTTTTTTTCATTTCAAATTCTACAAACCCCAATCTTTTTTAATCACTTGAAATTGTTGCTGATTATCCCTTTGGCGGTGGATTTTTTGTATTAACTTTCGAACTTCCATTGATTGTTGGTGTGAATCTTTCAAGTCGCTCCACAAGGTTGCAACCGAAACAAAAAGAAGAAGCATATTTTGCATATTGCTGTTGTTAAGTTTTTGGTTGCCTACAACATACCTCAATTTTGCTTTCTTCATGCCATCGCACAATAGCATAATGATCGTTTGAAGATCGCAACACCATACCGACGGACAGATTTGCTACAAAATAACAGTTTACATTTCAGCAGAAGCCGATCCGACCGACCATCAATGTTGCGCATTTTTTCTGCTTGTTCTTAATGTTTCAAGTGAAAAAACCCCCACAACAACACAAAACGTTAACGGCGTCTATTTTGTTGTTGTTGTAAGTTAAGTTTTGCATTGTGAGCTTATGTTGCAGCCATTTGTTTCTTGGTTACTGGGGTTTTCAAGTCAAAAATGGCGTTACACTCGATGCACATGCAACAAACGATCTTCCTTCCTGCCTCAATATCTTCTACCTTCCTTCCAAACTACCACCGACGCTTAAGTAACAGAATTGCTTTTGAATAGTCGTTTGTTTTTTTCTCTTCCTCGTGGTGTTGTTGGCTTCTTTTCTTGAAACTACAGAATAAAAGCCTTTAAATGCATCTCTATTTAGAAATGTTTTTGAAGTGTTTTTGTTGTTTGGATTTTTGTTTTTTCGTTCGCTTCTTAACACAAATCAAGCAAAAATATCAAAGTATTTAAGCCGCAAACTTCTTTTCTTTGTAACAGCCAGCAAAGCTTTTAGTATGCATCAAAGTAAGGCTAAGCCTTCAAGAAACACCACATTGGCGGAGATGATGACTACGATGCCGACAAGGCTGATGCCAATGTGTCTTGAAAGATTGTAGGAAATCCGCAGGGGGGGGTGGTGGTGGAGGGAAATCCAAAAAATCATTGTTTAACAAAACAACGGCAACAACTTCAAGTGCAAACCGCTCATCTTTATGCAAAATTTACAATACAACTGTTGTAATTTCTAGTATTTCGCCAGACATTTAGTCTAGGCTGGTGTTTCCGACTACTTCTTCTGCAGTACTTTTTTTGTGGAAATGTTAGGCTTCACTGGAAGAAGTTTGTTGTCGTTTTTTTTTTCATCTTTTGTTTGCCATTTCGATTTCCTTTGCTTAGTTTTTGTAACATTGTATTTTTAGAAAACTCTAAAAAAATATCACAAAGAGCTTTTGCAGCTTATCTTATCTTTGGCTTATTACTAAAAAAATAAAAAAAACAAAGATCATTCAATGCCGCAGATTTATGCTTGATTGCAATGTGTTTAGTAAATTATAAACATCATAAGTTGTAGATTTTTGTTTTTATCTTTTTGTAATCATGAGTAAGCAAGAAATTTATGAGAAATCAAAGAAAAAATTAAATCCCTCCCAAAAAAGGGAATTTATAGAGGCTTTACCAAGGCATTTTCGTATTGGAAATATTTTTTCTGAAAACTTTAAGGCCTTGGCTTGGATTGTACGTTAAAACTTTAAAAAAAATTCCCGATAGAAATTATTTAAAAATTAATTTTAAAAATATTGACAATAATTAATAACAGTCATACGCACTGGGGTCCAAAATGTATTTTTGCTTGTTTTAGAGTATTTTCATAATTTTTATTTACTTTTGAAGTATTTCATTGTGAAATATATAAACTATGCAAAACTTTAATATATTCTAAAGACAGAATCCGAGTATCTGCTAACATTTGTGGAAAAAATGTGAACATACCAAAAATAGAGTTGTTGTAACTCCTAAAGGCTTTCTATCACTTGAATTTGCAACAGCTATTTTTATTGGCTAAAAATAAGTCTTGTTCCTAGCAATATTGTTTAAAAATGTTCATTAGTTAATATTTTTCTATCTTTACAGCCAAGTCTAACCAGCAAAATTTTAAGAAATCAAAGTAAAATCAAATCCAACTCCCTACAATTATAATTGTGATCATTTCTGATGACTTTTTCAAGGACTGTTGCTATTGGAAATATTTTTCATGAAAAATAGAAAGTCTTGGCTTCGATTGTTCATAAACAATTTTCAAAAATTCCTGATGGAATTGCTTGATAATTTAATTTTAAAAATATTGCCCATAATTAATAACAATCATACGCAGGGTGGCACTATATTTTATTTTGCTTGTTTTGAGAGTTTTTAATTATTTTTGAACGCATTTCTTCCGGAAATCGATAATTTGTGGAAATATTAAAAACTTTTAGAAGAAAAAATCACAGTATCTGCAAAATTTGAAAAAAAAAGGAGACTAACATTGTATAAATGGGGTCTAAGGATAAACGAAATAAATTTAATGACTTTCTACCACTGTTATTTGCATTAAATATTTTTTTGTTAATATAATTATGTCCTGAGCTTAGATGCAATGAATCTGATAATTGTTCTTAAAAACCCAAAAAAATTAAAAATATCTATAGAACTAATATCAATTATGCGCGGGTAAGTACTTTTGAAATATTTTTATTTGGGAGGGATTTTTATGGTTTTCATTTAAAATTGGGAGAAATTATCATTTTGTATAAAAAGTATAAAGTCAGGGCTTTAAATGAAAATTAAAATAATTTTGAAATTAGCTTAGAAATGCCTGAGATTTTAATTTCAAATCTCTTCGAGTCATTTAATATCAATACGCAGGGAAGTTTCAAGATTATCCAATAAGTTTGTAGGACTTTTGATTGTTTTTATTAAAAATTGGGTGAAATTATTGTACTTTATGAAAAGTATATAGTCCGAGCTTCCAATTGACGTTGAAAGAGTTTTGAAAATAGGATCAGAAATGCCTAAAATTGTAATTTTTAAATTATTTACACTAATTAATATCAATAATACGCAGATGAGTACCCTATGATTTTATTGGCTTCTAATCGTATTATTTATATTTCATTTGAATAAAATATTTTATAAATAAAGTGAAAACACTTTCTTTCGATATATCCTAAAGTTTTTTTTTTCGTGATGCCTAAGATACCTCTTCTATAATAATTTCAAATTTAATTGCCATAATTTTAGGCAGACTTTACCAATAACTTTTTATTTTTTTTAATGGATTTTGGAATAACTTAATATTTTTTTCAATAGTATTAGGTATATTATTTATATATTTTTACTCACCGGGACTACCCAGGAAGACTGAGGAATATAACCGTCTTGAGGCATCGGCATTTCTAGTATCGGCGGCAGGTGATGACCATTCTCTTCGACACCATCGACCTGAAAAACCAAAGGAAAAAACAATTGTTATTCATACATATTGACAAATAGTTATGTACCAAAAAAAAAAGGCAAATGAAAATATTGAATTCAAAAACTACAACAAAAAAAAAAAAAATAGCAAAATTAAAACAAATACGCAAGCAAAGTTTATGTGGTTTCTTTTTGACGTGGTTTGTTTTTTCTACGTTTCTCTTGTTTTTTCGGTTACGGTGAAATTTAAATCCCCCAAAGCCTTTGAAAAAAGGCAAACTTAAAAAATATCAATAATTTTTTTCCTCTTTTCGTTTGGCTCATAACACTTGTCATGTTTATATTAAAAGGCTTAACATATCAGAGACGACGTCGACACACTCACACACACACACATGTAGTAGAATATTTCAAATATAAATGCCGCATAGATTGGATGTTTTTTTTCTGCGCTGGACTATTTTTGTTGTTGTATTTCTCCTATCGTATAAAATATTACTTAAAAATAAATATATAAAACTTAAGCGGGTATTATAGATAAATATTGACAGTTTGACAAAGATATGGAATGGTACAAAGAGTTAAAGACACAAAAACTGGGAAAAAATTATATAAAAATTAATTTCAAACGTGGGTTGTTATTAATAATAAAAAAATAGTGTTTGAAACATAATAAGGTTTTGAGCCGTCGTCATTGAGTCTGGTGTGGTAAAATATTTTGCCGTTATAAAACACAACGAATCAGAAAAAGTTTTTTTTTTTATATATTTTCTTGTTGCCGGAGTTTATGGCCAATAACAACAATAAGGAAAGTCAAAACTCCAAACAACCTTATGGGGTATTTTTTTTTTCTTTCTTTGCTGTAACAAGAGCCTTTTGTGTATAATGTTGTTTAATTTCGAATGACGTTAATAATAATTTATTTTATAACCTTAAATGGCACATAAAAAACGCCAACAATGCTAAACCAGAAAATTGGCATACCTTAAGGCTGGCTGTCTGGTTGGTTGTATTCATCCTTACAATAAGTTAAGGCGTTGGGTATTGAGCAAACAACCAACCCAGCCACCTTTGTTTAAATTCTTATGCATATCCGGAACAAAACTCTAAGAAGAAATTTGAGCAGCTCATCCCACCACCACCGACCCAAGAAATTAAGTTTAAGGAAACAAAACGCAAAAAAAAGAGAAAACAACTCGCAATGACTTCTATGAAAACTTAATGGCCAATTTTCCATTTTTTTTAATGTAATGTGCGTATTAAATTTAATGTTTTTGTGGGGTGTTTATGCGTATGTTTCGTTATGCAGAGTGACAATTTTTTTGTTGTTGTTGGTGTGTTTTTTTTTTTTGCTATAGGGAAGTGAATGACCCTGTTAAGCTTGGAATTGTGGGGGAGGATGTTGTGTGGTTGTTTTTTTTTTTTTTTTTTTGTCTTAGAGGTGTGTTATTGTGTCATTTGGTGTGTCATATTTCTTAATATAAATATTAATCAGTTGTTGTTATTGTTGTAATTTTGAAAATTACAAAATAAATAAGAAAATTGGTTCATTAGTAGAGAGATTTTTTTTTTTTTTTTTTTTGAGAAAAGGAATAAAAAAATTCATGGGGGTCTTGTCTGAGGGGAAATATTGCATTATTTTTTATTTACATGTAACAAATAAAGTTTGGTATTGAAATTTATGGCAAATAAAAAAAATATTTGTAGAATTTTTGGGTTCCCAATATTAGATTTGCAACTGAACTTTTAATAACTGAAAAATTAAAAAAAGCAGCTAAGTTTAGCTGACCCGGGGAACTTGCCAAATGTAAAAAATCCATTAAAAATTGAAGCTATAATTTTAAAAATTCCGAATTTCTGGTGTAGCAGTTATTATCTGCCCGAGAAGGGTGCCCATCACGAACTCCAAACATCGAGTTTGAGATATTGTTTTATTTTCATCATATAAAATATTTTTTGTATTGAACACAGACTCAGATATTTCATTTGAATTTCAAATCAGAGCGCCATCTATTGATGCAAAAATTCTGCAGTTTTCTATTTCCAAAATCTAGCAAAAATCAATAAACTAACTTCTTTGTTTTTGTTTTAATGTTCAAACACATCTCACAGTCTAGTATAGAAATAGACTCTGATGTTACCATTTATAAAAATATGTTTCTTGACTCCCATGGTCCCCTCTTTAAATAATAATATCTCTCATATCTTTCCTCAAAGGAGTTAATAAAGATTTCAATTTCTTAACAAAACTCTCCCAAATCGCTTTCACACCTATTTTGCGAAAAAAAAAGATTTGTTAATACGCCAATAACAACAATTGCTAAACAGAAAAAAACCCATACATATTACATTTCACACCATTGCAGCCGTCGCTACTAAAATCTGCCTGACTGGCCTGCCAGCCTACCTACAACAATTGCCTGCCATCGCGCCGCCATCAACATATAATATTTTTCTTCTTGTCATTTAATAGACTCACGGTCACGACCCCCAAAAAATGAAAATATTTCGCACATAAATCTTAATAATTCTTTTTTTTTTTTCATTTTTCGTGTAGCGTTTTTGTCCACAACATTTTTATTTTATCCCCAAAACAAAAAAAACGAAAACCAAAACCAAAAAGCTGCCAAACAGTCTGCGATTTGTTTTGGGGAGCCAGACATGCGACGCAAAACAAGAAAACACTCCAAGCGAATTTGCTAAGAGAATAAAAGAGTGGAAGAGAAACGCCTTGGTTGCTTTTTGAGTGTGAGAGTCAATGGCAATGAGTTATTTCCCCTCCATTGCGTTGATTGTTGTTGATGTGTGTGTGTGTGCGTGTGCATGGAATATGTACTCTTCACAAATACCGTAAACAGTAAAGAGTAAATTGGAATGAGTACAAAATTGGCTAAATAAGTGAGAGTGGGGAGCACAAAAGAGAGACCAAACAGTAATATCGTAAATTGAGTATTTCAATGGCAAATTTTAAGAGTAAGCGTATTTTCAAAGGGAACAAACTCTTTTAGTGGTGTTTTATACAGGAACAAATTTAAGAATTTTGAAAATAATTTATATTTTTAAGACATATAATTTATATATTTTTTCAAATATTATTTTTTTAAAGTAACATAAAATTATTAAAACTCTCTTATTTTTTGTGGTTTTTACTAGTCTCCCTTCTATAATTTATATAATCATCATTCAGCAAGTCACCCAGCCAGCTAACCAGCCATTTTTCCATTTTATAGTAATTGTTGTTGTTGATTTTTTGCGCGCCTCTTGCTTGTTGTTATTGCTTGCTGATAGTGCAAGTTAAAGTAGTGTTGGTAGTAGTAGTAGTAGTCGGACTCGATTTTCTTGGCTGCTAAAAAGACGGATGTGTGTGAATTTTTGTGCTTTTTCATATGGCTGTCATATGGTGGCCTTTAAAAATGGGTGGAGTGTCATTTTTCCATGCAACAACAACAACGCGAGTATGGCTGTTTTTGTTGTTGCTGTTCTTGTGACGAGACAACATGACTTTTCTTAGTTTAACACTGCTATTTGCCTCATTTCTTAATTGAGTGTTGGTATTATTTCGTTTTTCTTCTTGTTCTTGTTCTTCTTCGCCTTGATTTTACAAAAGACGACGGCATTTTTGTCTTGGGGCCGTCGCTGGAAAATAATTAACTAAAGGAATTTTATTTTTCTTTCTTTTTTTTGGGTTGTTGATTTGCTTCATTTAGTTTTGTTTCTTGGATTTATTTTAAATTAGAAAAAAATATCCTCCCTTCCCTTCTGTGTTATTATTAGATAGAAGAATTTTTGGAGGAGTTTCTGTTGTTTTTGTTTCATTTAAATAAAATTGTATTTCGAAAGTGACAGTTAAAATGATTTATCACTTTGTTTGGCTGGCATTGGCATCCCCATATCTGTTCTATGCTAAGCTATCTATCCACATCTTTGTTAGGGCAATTTTTGGTGGGCCTTTTTTTGTTTTGTTCCATCAAATCAAAATTTGAAGAAACAAAAACAATTTCATAGACAGTTTTTTGGGAAATTGAATGAATCTTTGTGCGTGGATTTATTTTCGTCAAGGGGACAGTGGGAGGAAAGGGAAGAAATTTTGTTAGGAAATACAAATATGAGAACTGAAAATCAATATATTTCTTTTTTGGATTTTAATTTGGATAAAATTACACTTTTGGTTGGTTTGGATTTTTGTCAAGAGGACAGTGAGAGGAAAAGGGATTTATTTTTAAATTAATAAAATGGGAATATAATAAATAAAATAAATATAATAATAAAATGGGAATCTTTTAATCACATTTTCTTACGACAAAAAAAAATCAACGATATTTCTGGCGGAAAATTCGAATATATATCTCATTTAACCAAACTTTCTTCCGACAGACAAAAAAACATAAACGATATTTCTGTCGGAATATAATCGTTGCCGGACACTTTTGTAATAGGGAACGGTACGAAGAAGAAATCCATATTTCTGGGTGGACTATTGAACCAAAAATCCATATATGGATGGTCAATAACTTCCTGAAGAATCTGAAATTATAAGTTCGGTTTTTTTTAACTGAACAAGGGGAGAAAAATTGAGATATTTTGTGAAATTCTGGAATAATATATTTTAAAAAATTAAATAGTTCAATTTTTTGTATTTTTTTTTTTTCAAAGGTATCAGCAGGTGATAAAGAAAGAAATTTTTTGAAAACTAATAAATTTGAAATATGTGAAAAAATTTTTAATTTCGGAAAGACATAGAAAACAATTCAATATTGTTGTTGTTATTTCGGAAATATATATTTCAGAATTTTTTACATTTGTTTGTAACATGCAAAAGGGAACAACATATACCCATTGTTTCTTTTTTAATTAGAGTCGATTTTTACATGTCCGACCGTCCTTATATTTTGGAAACAAAGTGCAGGTCAGATTTATTGTCCGTTTGAGATAAAAATTTCCAAAAATCACTTGTTTTGCTCAAGAACGAACCCTATTGGAATTGGCTAAAATCAGTCCAAATTTAGGTATAGCTCCCATATATATAT